TTGAGGTCACACCAACCCCTCCAGTTACAAATTGAGGTATGCTAGGGCCAGGAGAGGGGCGGTCCCATGGTTCAGGGCAGGGGGCATGCTCCGGCCTGTGGTGGTTTTCCAGTTTCTGTGGTGTAAACACTCCCTATGTGGGCAACCCCATGCCACTGGTGACATCACTACATGCCAAATGCTGAAGGGGTGTGTGTGAGCCTGTCTGAGCAGGTCTAGCTCCCTCCCTGGGAGTACCCCCTTTCCCCCCTGCTTTTCTGCCCACCCAGAGGGGGCACACGCTGCTGCTCATGATTCTGCCCAGCACCTGGCACATCCTTGGTACTTGCTAAATGTCTGAGAGCCTTTGAATGTTTGGTGAGAGCCTGCGGGGGACCAGGAGACAGCTGGCTGTGCCCAGGGTGGGCCCTGTGCTGCTCAGGCTCTTGGACCGCGTGACCCACATGGTTGCGGCTCGTGTTGCGTGCATGGAGATCGGGGTGGTGGGGGTGGTGCATCCGAGCACCTGTGAGAGGCCCCCACCCCGGTGTCAGCACACAGGTGGGCTATGGTGGGGGGCACGCACAGCTCCTGAGGCCACCCAGCCGGTGGGACTCTCTCTGATTCCCACTGAGGCAGGAGGTAAGTCTGTGTTGGCTCTGGAGGTGGCCCTGTAGTCTGGACCCCACCTGCCACCCGTGGGGCTGAGCTGAGGGTGGCACAGAGCACCATTTCCTTCCTGGTTGCTAAAGACAGCAGGAGTTGGCTTTCAAGCGATGGGACTTGTTGGGCACAAATGAACTGATTCAGTGGGGTGGGGACCAAGAGGAACTCCCCGGAACCTCCCTGTTCCGCCCTGGGAGCACGGGCCTTGCTGACTGGCCAGGCCCTCAGGCAGCTGAGGAGAATCTGGGGGTCATGGAAGACCACCAGCCATAGCTGAGTCAGCATGGCTTTCCTCTTGGGAATAAAGCCTTCTGTGAGCTGGGCACGGGCCCAGGAGGCTGGGCTGGGATCCTCGTTCCAGGCACGACCTCCCTTGCCCCCCTGTCGGTGAGCTTACCCAGGTGTGGTCCTGTCTCCAACCAGACGAGCCAAGCAGAGATCGGGGAGGCGTGAGGAGGAGGAGATGAGGGATCCTGCCCAACGCGGAGGATGGGCAGCTATAGTCTTGGGACTTTCTGGTCAAATCTGCTAAAATCAGGCTGCTGCAGCAGCAGGTGTCATTGTCATGAAAATAATGTGTATATGGCACAAAACCTGAGCCAAATAAACACGCAGGAAATGATGTATCTCCTACCCCAGAGCCAGGATCCTGGGCCCCACCACTGTGCGGTGACCCTTGGGCATTCCCCCCATCATCCTTGAACCTGAGACTGGGCAGACATCGTGGGTGCCGCTGGGGTGCAGGGGGAAGTGGGTGCCCGGAGACAGGATGTGCATGGCCTCAGGGACATCCTGCCCCAGGACAGCCTGCTGTTGCGGGGAGGCCAGGAACCTTGACTTTAGAGGGCTTGCCCTGAGTGTGGCCCTTTATCGGCAGGCGGGGAGGGGAGAAGTTGGGGGCCCGCAAGGGAGGGGCCGGCCCGGGTCCCTCAGCAAGTTGAGGTGCAGCGTGAGCGGATGGCGGGACAGGGCGGGGTGCCCTAGAGTGGCGGGGGGATGGGGCTGCTGGGCCGTCAGCCTGGTCAGCCTGGGTGGGGGGCCTCTGGCCCTTCTCTAAGAGTCCCGTGGGAGGGATGAGGCCCATCCAGGCCCTGCCTGGGCCCCACAGCCAGGCTGGGGCTGTAGGTCAGTGCCGCGGATCTGAGGCCGCCCAGCCTCCAGGGAGCCACGGAGCCCAGCCTGCGGAAGGCTTCTCAGGCAGGGTGGGCCCGTGGTGGGGGGGCTAATGGCAGACTCCTGTGTCCCCTAGCCCTGGGCCACATCTTGGTGGCCTGTACCCAGTGCCGGCAATAGGCAGCAGGCATTGTCTGATCAACATGGGCCGCCCAGAGCTCCCTGGCGGCCCTATCCCTGGAGTCCAGCATGGATAGGTGGCTGGGCCTCAGGGCTCCTGGCGGGTGGGACTGAGGACACCCTGCCTGCCTGCCAGGGATGGTGGGGCTGAGGGCTGGGTGCTGTGCCTCTGCACCCTGCCCCAACTTCCGCCCCCGGCCCTGGGCAGGGCCACTGGCTGGGAGGCCACAGAAGCATTCGGTGCCCTGAGGAGTGACCCGACGTGTGGCTGGAGGGCCACCAGGAACCCTGAAGGCTCTCTTCCCTCCCCAGTTCCTGAAGACCCTCCACCTCATAGGCAGACCCCCACCCCAGCCCCGCTGCCCTCGCCCCCAGAGGTGGGGCCCATCCCGACCTGCTCAGGCTCTACGTCCCTGGCTGCGGGGTCCTCACGGCCCCCCGACGCCACACCGCTCCCGCCCAGCTCCGCTGTCTCTGTCCCTGCTGTCTGCCTGGACTCGGCCTCGTGGCCTGGCCTCTGCTCCCTCCTCCTGCAGGACGCTTGCTGCTGGCGGTCGCGGGCTCAGGGCAGAGTGCCTCCCGCCGGAGCGGGCAGGACAGCGCCGCAGGCCAGGCCAGGGCCAGCCTTGTGCTCCTGGACGAGGGAGCATCATGTCGGGGTGCTTGCCCAGTGGCCCATCTTCACAGCAGCGGGTATCTGGAGAAATGGGCTCAGTCAGGTCACCTGGCAGGTGGTGCAGCGGATTTGAACCCAGGTCTGCCAGCCATCTGGGCCCTGCCCTTTCCCTGTGCTCCAGGCCCCACATGCACCATCTGCAGGCTGGCACTGTGGGTATCTCAGATTGAGGAAATGAGCCTGGGGTCCCTGTCCTCTTCCAGGAAGCCCTTGGCTTTGGCCTGTGGGCCCAGGTGTCTGGGTGAGGGGGTGGGCCGGGCTGGCCTGCGAAAGGGGAACTCGGCTGCTGGGCAGCGTGAGCACCACTTGCTTCTGACACGCTTGCAGCCGCTTCATGGACACCAGCCCTCCTTCCCCTCCCAGACCTCGGGCTCGCCGCACTGCCGCGCGCCGTGCCGCTGTAGGCTGTGGGCCCTGAGCCAGTGGGCAGGGGGCTGACAGGGCCAGCTCCAGGGTGGGACCCTCCCTCCCCTGTGCTCGCCGTGAGGCTGCAACTCCTGGCCGCTCTTGCAGGGGTGGCCTGGCCTGCTGGGTGGGGGACCTCAGGTGGCCAGCAGGTGAGGCCCTGGCTGGGGGCCGTGGGGCAGCAGGGCCTGGGGGTGTGCAGTGTCTTGCCCATGGAGTGTGGAGCTCATGGCCAGTCTGGCAGAGGCCCCTGGTGGGAGAGCCTGGGCCAGGTGCTGGGCGCTAGGCCCCTCCGAGGGACCTGCCTGTGTGGTGCCCAGCCTTGGCTGCCGAGTGCACACTGGTGGTCGGTCATGCTGAGGGCACCTGACTCGTGCTGCTGTCCTCCCAGGCTGCTGCTGTCAGCACCTCACCTCACAGGTGAGCAGGTGGAGGTGACTTGTCTGAGGTCATGTGGGCATGGCTGGGACAGGGTCCTGGTCTGTGGGACTCCACAGCCTGAGGCCAGGACCACAGGATTCTGCTCTGCCCTGGGTATCAGCCAGCGGGTTTGGGTGGGGTGGGGAGAGTGGCCGGTTCTGCGGAGGCCCCCTTGGGGTCTGGCTCACTTCCCTTTGACGGTGAGGACTCTGAGACCGGTCCTGCTGGAGGGCCTGGTTCTCCCGGGCCTGGTGTCGGGAATGTGCGCTCAGAGCCGCAGACGCCCTGCGAGGGAGCTGTGCGAGGTGCGGGCTGCAGCCGGAGGGACAGGTGTTCCCAGACCTGCCCTGCCCCTGGGCTCGTACTGGCTCCTGGTGGCTGCGTGCAGGGGGATGTGGGTAGGAGGTCTGGGGGGGTGCTGGCAGCCTCTCTGTGCTCTGAGGTGAGAGGCTGAAGTCCCAGCAGGTCTCAGTCCAACCCCGTGGTTGTGATGGGAGGCAGGCACTGGCCCCCTGGGGGCTTTCCTGGCCCGGTTCACGCCCTGTTGCCCTATTAGTGCTCGGGGCCCTTTTAGGTGCTCACTTACCTGTGCAGGTGGTCCTAGGGGAACTCTTCTGTGCCCAGGAGTTTCAGAGGAAAATGAGGCTTGGAGATGGAAGTGACTTTTCCAGGGCCACTTAGTGGCTCCAAGGAGAGACTTAGATTGGCCGGGCCGGGTGGGAGCTTAGACCACCAAACTCTTCCAGGCATTTTAACATCCTTTCGCTGTTTGTGAATGTTTAGCCCTTAGTGTCTCGGGCTCTTTGCCTACATCTCTGTGTCAGGAGCCGTGTGGCTCCTGTGTGCCATGAGGACTGTGGTGGGCACCAGGTGAGGCCATGCCAAGCAGTCTTTGGGGACCATTCGGTTCTGGGGCTGGAACCTGGCATCAGGGCGCACTGCAGTGAGGCACCATGCTGCCTTGCCTGGGGGCTGCCTGCCCTTAACATGCCCTTGGCAAGCTCTTCCCACACTCGGCTCTGCCAGGAACAACAGACAGGAGGTGTGCTGGCGCTGCACACTTGTCCTGGGGCTGGGCCTGGCGTGCTGGGGACCTGGAGCCTGCCCTGGCCATCTCTGGGCACAGCATCCCCCTTGCTTGCTTGGCTGCCCTGGGTGAGGAGCTGTGAAGGCCGCGCCAGGTCTGAGTCCGGGAGCCTGAGGTTTCCTGAAGGCCAGCTTCCTACAGCAAACAGCCCTCCAGCCGTGGTTGGGTTCAGGGGCTCTGCTTCCTGTTCTGGGGGTGTCCGTCTCTCTGGCAGCTCTTCCTTGAGGATGAGAACTGGGCACATGTCCTCGGTCCCCTGACTGTGCTGGGCCCCCAACAACCCTCGCCAACTCCTGGCTTTGGTTTCCTTATCTGTCACGTGGGTGCAGAGAGAGAATGTTCTGGGTCAGCTAGTCTCCTGATGTGACAGAGGTTTGAAATCATAAAATGTTACTTTCATACAGGAACTATCCCGGATGTTGTGCCCCATTCTGCACTTACACAGAGGGTGGGCTGCCCGTTAGCGCTTTGCTCAGTGGTTCTTGGTCAGATGCAGGGTGTGTGCGAGATGGTTGGCTGTTCAAGCCTGTGTGTGTTGTCGTGGACACCTGGTGGCCAGGAAAGACTTCCTGGGTGTCCCGTAAGGCTTGCTGACCTGTCTCTCTCACGGATGGCCTAGGAATGCTGCTCTGGCCGCCACAGGTGAGTGCAGGAGTCTTTGGCTTTCTCTCCGCAGGCCGTGCACCTGGGTGCTGTCTGCTTGTCTGAGTTTCGGTGTCTTCCCATGGTCTCTCGCCGCCACTTCCCCCTCTTCCCGACTGTGTGTTCTTCGGGAGATCGTCAGAAGCAGCTTGTTAGCATTGTGTGTAAACAGGGGTCAGTAGGCTCTGAGCAAGAACGTCTGTGAGTCGATGCATGAAGTTCTTAGCTTCTGGAGTTGGCAGCAGCTGCTTTCACTGCATCCGGCTTTCTTACTACCCTCTGGGGTCTTCCTGGGCCTGCATCTGTGGTCGTCTGGCATCTGGATAGGTGAGGCTGTCACAGTGTATGCCTCTGACAGTGAGGTTATACTTTGCTGTCCCTTTTCTGATGATGCAGGTGACAGCTGGGTGTCTGCAGGACCAGATGTTAAGGGTCCTCCAGGCGTCTGGCAGGCTGTGCATTCTCTCGAGGGACTGCAGCCCTCTCCCTGCTCAGCAGGGGCTGCTGCACCAGGGCTGTCTGGGTTTGAAGCCCCAGAAGGCATGTTTGTGGGACCCTGCTCCCCCGGGTGAGATGCTGAGAAGGTGCTGCTCTATCCGGAGGGCGTGGGGGCTGGAGCTGCTGCCTGCCTGGCTCGGCCGCCCAGCGCCTCACCCCCACCCCGCTTCTGCCCCTGGCTGAGGCTCCCTGTCCCCAAGGCTGGGCCTCACCAGGCTTCAGGCCACCAGGCCAGGGAAGCTGGTCATCCAGGCCCTCGGCATTTCCCTGCCCCTAGGAGTGCATGTTGGTCAGCTGAGAGGTCCTGTGGTGGACAGCCCCCAGCCCTGCCCCCTCTCCATGGCCCCCTGGAATTCAGAAATGCACCTTGCACACAGGTGGCAGAAGCTGTCTGCAGATACACCTAAGGACAGGAGCAAAGGGTGGAAACAGTTTCCCCGGATCCTCCCTATCATGTTGACCTGGCCTTGGCCACACCTTGGGGGTTGCCTGTGGGACAGAGAAGTTGGGCATTGGTGAGTCCGAGGGGCAGGAAAGGGCATGGGGCAGGGGGTGCAAGACAGGGGTGCTGGGAGCCAGGGGCCTGCTGTGGCCTCTGGATGAAGCAGGGGCTTTGGAATTTGGGGGGTGTAATGGGGAGCTGTGGCAGGTTCTCAAGGGACTCAGTGGACCATGGCTGTCTGTCGAGAGACCAGTGGAAGAGATGGCTGGGGGTGGGGCATGCTGGGCCACTCGGGCTGTTGTGCACCAAGGGGCTGGTGGGGCGTTCTCAGGGGCAGAGCTGTGCAGGTGGACGTCGTGGTGACCCAGAGCCCAGAGGGAGGCTCTCCTGGGCTGTCAGTGTTTCTAGTCCCCCTTCCGCCTGGAGGCCCTGTGGATTGGGCGGCCGTTCAGGGTACCACCGTGGACGCTTACCACAGCCCCATCCCAGTTTCTTGGGACGGGGGCCACAGGGCGTGGCACTGCCTGTACCTGGCCACCCTCATGTCTGTGGGGTCAGTCGGCTGGTCGCCTCTGCTGCCACAGGAGCCCCCGAGAAGTACTGGCTGTGGGGTGAGCAGGATCTCCCCACCTGATGGGTCTCTGCCCCCCTCCCCATCAGGTGAGGCCGTAGGGTGGAGCCGTGGGGTGCAGTGGCTGCTTTGTGAGGATGGGGGTGGAGGTTTGTGGGGTCAGCCAGCCCCGGCCCTGCACTCATGCAGCTGCCTCCTGGCCTCTGGGCCTGTGTTTTCCACGTGCTCCCTCCTGCTTCCTGGCACCTGCTGGCCTGGCGGAGGGAGGGGAGGGGAAGCCCGGCACACAGCAGGTCCCCCACAGGGTGGCTGAGGCAGGGGCACATCTCAGCCTGGGAGTCAATCCTGTCAGCATCAAGGGCCCCACACTGAGCTGGCAGTGCAGGGACATAGTGGTGAGGGGTTCAGGGGCTGCCCTGTGGGGAGCTTCCTTGCCCAGAGCAGGAGCTGGCAGGGCTCTCCCAGGGCTGGGCAGGGTGCCGGGCAGAGGCTGAGCTCTGACAGGCTGCTCTGGGTGTAGCAGACTAGGGTGGGGTTGCGGTGCTGGCCCAGGTGAGCCGCGGGGGGCCCCACCCCTGCTGGCACACCCGGCCACGGCTGCGGTGGGGAAGCCCCGCTCTGCGGGCAGGCACCCCACTCTCGGTCTGCTCCGTGGGTGGGGCCCTGTCTCCGTCTGCAGGGGCCCGGCCAGCCGAGCCCTTGCACACCGGGGCACCAGCCCAGCATCGCCGGCCGAGTCAGTGGGGCGTGGGTGGGCCTCTGCCGAGGGGAGGGCCCCGTGTGGGCCGCGGTCACAGCTTGCGGTAGCGGGGTCTTGGAGGCCTTCAGGGAACCTGTCTGCAGCTGAGCAGACGCTCGAACAGTTCTCTGGGGACGCCGGGCAGCCACACCCTGGGGGCTCTGAGCATTGTGCCACGCCAGGAAATGGCGATGCTTGGCGGCCGTGGGAGGACTAGGGACGTCCCCAGGAGAGACCAGCCCTGCCTGGCCCAGAGGCCCTGAGCTTGGAGCGCCCCCTCCTTCTGACCATTCCAGAATGCTCTGTCTTGCCGGCCACCTGGCCTGGAGTACTCTGCAGCCCTCCGCAGGTGGGTGGGGGTGTGGGGTGTGGGCGGGCTTAGGCCTGAGTGCCTGCAAGTGTGTTCCAGAGGCCAGCGGGGATGCAAATGAAAATTAGAGAGAAAAACAGCCAGAGGGGGTGGAAAGCATAGGCCTTCCGCGACAGAGTGCGGGCCTCTGAGCCAGCGAAGCCATGGCTCAAAATGAAACAAGAATCATTTATTTTCCTGTTGAAGATAAACTGTTTCAGCCAGGCCGCAGGCTCGGGCCTGTGCCCCCCAGGCTGCTGTGCAGCAGGCGGGGTTTCACCAGGAATTCCCCCCTTCCCACCCACCCTCCTCCGCTGTCTGGGCAGGCATCCCAGAGGTTTTGGGGACAGTTCAGGCGGACTGCCTGGAGGGGAGGCCGCGGCGCCCGGGAGCTCCTCCCTGGCCTTGGAGAGGTGAGCGCGCTTCAGCTGCCTGGGCTCCTGCCTGTCTCCACGGCGGGTGTTAGTGGGTCCTGCCGGCTCCTGGTGTCTGTGCCTGAAACTCTGGGCCTGGCCACCCGGGCTGGGGGTCCCGCTGAGGGCGCAGCCTCCTGGCCCTGCAGCTCCCCCACCAAGGCCTTTCCTCACTGGAGGATGATGGAGGAGTGGCTCCGGGGCCTCCCCGGGGAAATATTAGCACGGTGTGGGTGCAGGCGTATCTTAGGTCCGGCTACCTAGACTGTGCCTTCGCTCAGCAAGGCTCCTTATCTCCAGGGAGATTCGTAGCCACCATGGCACTCATAGTGTGGGCCGTGGGTCCAGCAGTCTCTCCGTTCTGCAGAGGCCTGGGTGGTGACTGTCACCCGCAGGTTAATTGTGGCTGGTTCCCAGGTCCTCTGTGGCTTCACCCCTTTTGTGACCCCCATTTCTGTGCCTGTGCCTCCCCCCCAGGATTCTCACAGGCCTTAGGTTTGATTTTTGCCCTCCCCATTCTCTCAACTTGGCAGCATGCGTTTGTCCCCTGAGCAGGGGAGGTGCACCCTGGCTGTTTGGCAGCGGGCAGGGTGGTCTGCCTGCTGTGCCCAGGGGAGGGGACTGCTGGGCAGGGCTGCGGGCATCCTGCTGAGGGTCCCTCAGCGTCTTTCTGGGTGAGCAGCCCTGTGCCCATCTCCACCCAGTAGCCCCCTGGCAGGGGCTCCTTTCTCGAACCAGCTGAGAGGGAGCATTGCTGGATGGGGCCTAGGCGAGGAGTGGCCTGTCACTGCACTCGGCCAGCTGAGCCAGCATCCCCACCTCTGGGTCCCTGGGACGGGTGGGTAGCCCCATTGGTGAGGCCATCTGAAGCTCTCTTTCCTCGCAGCCATCTCGGGTGGGGATGTGGGCACCTTCTGGTAAGTCAGGTGTCTGGAGCTCTTCTCAAAGGGCTGGCTTCAGAGTAGGGGGGGTCCCAGGTGGGGGCCGTATGGTCTGCCCTCTGGGGCCCAACCACTTCTGAGATTTCTGTCTGTTGGATGTATGGAGAAGCAGCGCCAGAGGGGTGGGCCCCCTGTCCCGCTGCCACCGCCCTGTCACCACCAGCCCTGAGCACCCCCTGCACCGCTCAGGCCTCTGGGAACAGGCCTGCCTGCTGCTCCTCCCCAAGGTTTGCCTCCGCCTGTCATCACCTTTCTTCTCCTGAAAAAGTGGCCCTGCTCTGAGCTCTGGGAGGCTGGGAGTTGCCAGGAAGAAGAGAGGACACTGGCATTTCTTGAGGCAGTGTTGGGGGCGTCGTGAGGGGTGTGGATGGGGCCAGGAGGGAGGTGTACGTGCAGCAGGCCCTGGCCTGTTCACCCGGAGGCCACAGCAGACCACGGGAGGCCTGGCAAGGAGGGGGTGTGACCCAGCCCTGGGGTGGGCCAGAGAGGCGGGGCTTCCATCTGTGCTGTGGGGGTTTGAGCAGTGCTGCCCCTGGGTTAGGTGTGCAGCCCAGGGTGCCCCAGGTAGTGCCCACCATGGGCATCTCTCAGTGATGCCAGCCCAGTGGGTGATGACGGCCCCTGCTGCAAGTGTTAGTGGGAAGGTAGCTGAGACGCATTTGGGTGGCTGTCGCTGGGCCTGGTGTGGCATACAGCGGGGGCTTCGGAGGGTGCATGGGCCCGGGGCAGCCTCCTGCAGAGACCGTGGCTCTGGTGCCTAATGTGCTGGTGCCAGCCCTCCTCGGCTCCCTCCTGAGCGCCTTCCAGGTCCGGGTGTTGGCTGGCTGGTCACAGGGAGCCCATCCTGGCCACCCCGCTCCTCCTGGCTGTGTTCCCCACTTCCCCCACTGGGCCTGCCCCCCCTGGGCCCAGCCGCAGTGCCCCCACTGTAGGAGTGGGCCGGGCGAGGGTAGCTGCCAGCCCAGCACCACTGCCTGTTCCTCAGTCTGCCCCTCACCAGGCCAGCCTGCTCAGTATGGCCAGGAGAACCCTGAAACACCATCCTTT